TGTAATCCCAGCACTTTGGAAGGCCGAGGCAGGCAGATCACCTGAGGTCAGGAGTTTGAGGCCAGCCTGGCCAACATAGCGAAACCCTGTCTCTACTAAAACTACAAAAATTAGCCGGGCATGGTGGCAGGTGCCTGTAATCCAAGCTACTCAGGAAGGTGAAGCAGGAGAATTGCTTGAACCCAGGAGGCAGAGGTTGAAGCGAGCTGAGATTGCGCCACTGCACTCCAACCTGGGCAATAAGAGTGAGACTCTGTCAAAAATAAATAAATAAATAATTAGCCAAACGTGGTGGCTCGCACCTGTAGTCCTAGTTACTCAGGTGGCTGAGATGGGAGGACCACGTGAGCCTAGGAGGTTGAGGCTGCAGTGAGCTGTGACTGCACCACTCCACTCCAGCCTGGGTGACAAAGTGAGACCTTATCTCAAAAAATAAAAGAAAATTTGTTAAAATTGCCCCCACCAGATTCATGTGGGGTAGGTCATTGTCGAACACCAAGAATTACTTAAGAGCACAAGACATCAGCCATAATAAACAGTTAATACATTGTTTGTGAAGACTAAATAATATATACTAAAGAATATACATATATATTAATGTAGAGTACATTAGAGGCATTTAATTCTTCCATTTATTTCACAGATAGAGAAACTGAGGTCCAGAAAGGGGAAGAGACTTGCTCAGACATAAGTTAACTTTTTTTTTTTTAATGACTCAGGGTTATCATGATTGCAAGTAATTCCTCAGTCTAATGGTCCTTTGCTTTCACTGTAATATTAATGAGACATGCTTCTTGAAAGAATGATTCACTAAGAGCAGGGCAGACTGACCAGCAGCTTTCCGGGCTGCACTGAAACCTTCCCACTCCAACCACAGCGAATTTATAACCACTCTGTGCTACAGATCAGTCACAGTTGGTCCTGACCCAAGAGGAACCCTGCCCCAGTCAGGATGGAATAAGTGAGTGCAGCCACTTGGAGCTGCCCTCTAATCTGCCACCACCACTGGGGTCTGCTGCCCTATCTGGGAACCACCCCTCTTCCTCTTACTTCTCCATGGCCAACTGGGAAAACTTAAGCTAAAAAGGATGACCCCAGAGATGAAAGAAGGAAAAGAAGTTAATCTGGAACACAGGGATCCTGAATTGCAATCCTTTATGAATCTCAAATTGCCAGGCATTCCCTTGAATCTGAATTGGGTGGGGAAACTGAAACTGGGAGTCACTTTCTTCTGCAAATGCATTGCCTCTTTGTTCTGTTGTAGTATCATCGGAGATGGTGAGTTTCATAAATTTGGAAAGGAGAGAGCCAGCAACCTTGTGTGTTTCCCGTAAAAAGAGTTTCAACTCCTCTCCAATAATCAGCCAAAGGCAATACCTGGACTAAGAACTCTCACCCCTAGCATATCCAAAGTACCTGAATCTAAACAGGTACATTGAGCCTTTTGTTGGCTCCCTACTACTTTGGCAGGAAGGAATCAGGACTGATGCAGGCCCAGGCAGGAACAAAGATTCCCTGCCATTTGAGCTACTGGTTTGGGTTAGGAGAATTGGAAGCCAGGGGCCAGGTAAAGTGAGTCAAAAATTCTGAAGCATGGAGGAAGGCAGAAAGCAAGGTGGCACTATGATCTAGCAGTACTTCTCAAATTTTAAGTGTATATAAATCACTTGGGGAGCTGCTAAACTGCAAATTCTGATTCAGTAGGTCTGATGCAGGGGCCTAAGATTCTGTATTTCTAAGTAGCTCACAGGTAGTGCTGATCCTGCTGGTCCATGGAGCAGCCAGGCTCCAGAGAACTGGTGCATCAGATGCCCTTGAGTGCTGCAAACCGTGATGGGGGATAGAAATTATCTCCTGCAGAGCCAACTCTGCATTTTTTTTGGCACTGAGGAAGGGTGCTCTCCTTTTGACCAAAGAAACTGGAAGGTAGGCCATTAGCAAGATCCTTCTGATATTCTTGATCTTTGTAACAACCTGCTATAGCTAGTTGCAAGAGCATTTTTAATTAGACCAAATTATCTAGTTTGACTGTCCATAGAAATCAAAGCCCCAGCTGAAATATCTGTTCATTTTGCTAGTGTAGAGATGGCTTGTGTGCTGTGATTTTTAAGATGTTAAACACTGCCTGTGGGCATATTTTATGGAGAAATAAACACGCAGCCCAATGAGATGTATAGCGTTGTTTTAATATATTGTATATTCACTTATTTATGGGGAAAATAAACACACAAGCCAATAAGCTGTGTATTATTACTTTAATATATTGAATTTATTTCATACCTATATGTTTTATGAGGGAAAATAAACTAAGATACACGCTATTATTATAACACATCTAATTGTTCTATATTAATTTATTTATGAGAGAAATAAGTGCAATTTAACATGATGTAAGATTATTTAATGCATGAGATGAAATCTGTATTAAGACAGTTTAAGGGATTAAGTTCCAGCTAACTAAGATGTGTGTACTTCCCACACTGAGGGATCCATTTAAAACTATGCAAAGGGCCTGTCTAGTCCTCTGTGTCACAACCTATGTTGGCTCCTGGCTTATCCTGACAATTGCTGCCTCTGGGTGCCTGGTACTCTAAATCCTGGTCCTGTTGGTCCAGGGGAAAGTCTGGAGGCCCAGGAAATAAACTGCTTTTTGAGAAGGGCAACATGTGCCGGGGAGATAGCCCCGCAGTGTCTGTTTCTGAGCGGGAGAAATATTAAAGAAACCTAAGGAGGATGGATGGCTTTCCGGAGCCCTTTAAATCTCCACCTTCCCAGAACAAACCAGGAGGCAGATGGGGGAGATCGATCCTTGCTTCCCGCTTACCGGGTTTACAAGGAACCAGGCAGGCTGTGGTGGGGGATAGACAGGACATGGTGTTGATATGGAAAATGAAGTTGTTGGTCAAGACAGGTGGGTCTGCATTTAGAGAAAGCTCTGGCCTGGCTTCAAATCCCACAGCGAAGGATCAAAAGTCAGACCGGATGAGGCACACCCAGGCCCGCAGACCCGCCGCTCTCCTTCCCTTCCCTTCCCACCCGGACTCTCCTTCCATCTCGCGTCCTCAGCGTCCGTTGAGCTCACTTTAAAAATAAAAAAAATCAAACAAACAAAAACTAAGGTGGGACTCCCAGGCTCCCCTTCTTCCCTGGCCTCTGGAAAATCCGGCTGGGAGGACGCGGCGGCGGGGGCAGATCCCGGCTGGGCCGGCGCCTCCCTCAGCGGCTGTCATGGCGGCCACAGCCTCTTCCCTCGCGCCCCCCCGCCCGCCGCCCGGCCCCAGCGCCATTTTGAGCATCGTCTTTGCTTCCCTGTCTCAGTCCCGCTCTCCTCGCTCCTCCTTCTCTCCCTGCAGGTCCAGCGCCTGGCGACGCTGCCGGGCCTCCCTGGACTTCTCGCCCGGCTGCTTCTCGGATGGTCCCCCAAAGCCCAGAAGCCCCCGAGTCCATGGGTGTCCCGGCAGCGCCACATTTCTCAGCTGGCCTCTTTTCTTGCCCACTTGGAAGCAGTTACCATCCCTGGGTGCGGGGCCCTGCTTCCCGAGAAAATCCCCGACTCCACTCCACTCCTTGGAGAGCCACCTACAACTCCCAAAGAGGCCCGGCTCAAGCCCCAGGCCTCTCGTCCCTAGGCTTCTTGAGTTCAGAAAAAGGCCCTACACCGGCTTCGGTCATAAGAAGCAAGAAGTCTAAGGAAGCCCTTGGATTCTTCCCAATTCCAGGAAACTTCTGCCCCCGCCACGACCCCAAAAGCCTGTCCCCAGGCTTCCTCTCCTTGCACCCTCCACTGTTCGCTGTATACTTTCTCCCTCCACCTGCCCACCTTTATTTCTAAGCAGAGGCCCCAGGACCACCCGCTCAGGACCAGAGGCCCTCTGCTGAGGGGCAGGGAGGTGACCGAGCTTACTGCAAACTCCCGACTCTTGCCGGAGCCGTGGGCGAAGCGGCCATCAATCGGGTCACCTTTGTACCACCCGGACTTCGCCGGCCCAGGAGGCTTTGCTGCCACATGGGCCGCTGAACCGAATCAACTTCGTACAGGTGCTGGAGGGGTAAGGACTGGCCTTGGGGCCGCGGGGAAAGAGGTTAAGTCCCAACACAAACACTCGTTTTCGTATTATAAAGACATTTATTTAATCTATGAAAATAATGTACAATAAATACTTTCCCCTTTTCCTATTATTAAAGAATTTTAATAAATAATCTACAGTCTAAAACATAAAAAAGAGGAAAATAAGTCCCTCTAGTTATTTTTAAGAAAGTCCCCCTAGAGTTTAATTATTCCTGAGATTTCATTGGAAGGAGTCTACCAAACGGAATTTTTCTGTGTGAATTTTAAAAGATGCCCGAGTGCCCAATATTTTAGAAGAAAAAAGGGAGTGGATTAAACGCTAATTCAGTAATACCTGAATTTTAGCAAAACACATAAGTCTATGCGACTGGGGGTGGGAGAGGCTCGATTTTTCCAGTAGATGACCAAGGAGCGCGGGGGTGGAAAGGACCGGGAGAAGGAAACCGGTTAGGGAAACTGCAGGTCGATGGCACAGAGCGTGCTGGTGAAGAAGTCCAGCTCTTCCTCGGAAAAAGGGACGGGGCTGTCGAGAGAACCCTGCAGGCTAGGGGAGAGGCCTCCGGATAGCTGGAGACAGGAGTCGGCCGCGAAGAAGTTAACGTCGGGAAGGAAAGGCGAATCCTGGCGCTCCGGGAAGACATCTTCTGGCAATGGTCCCGGCTCCGGCCCGCCCGCCCCGCGCAGCGCGCAGCCAGGGCTCGGCGCGCCCGCGCCCTCTAAGCCACCGGCTAAAGGCCAGGGGTCCGCGGCGCTTAAGGCCCCCGGCACCACCTCCGGCAGGTGAGAGCAGGCTTCCCACGCCGCCCGCGAGGCGGAGGGGCCGCCCGGGCTGACCGCGGGCTCCTTCACAGCGTCGCCGGTGTCCTCCAGGGCGCCCGGGCAGGCAGGCTCCCCATCCGGCGGCTCTCGGTGCTGCGTCTGCCGCTTGTGCTTCATGCGCCGGTTCTGGAACCAGACTTTGACCTGCCTTTCGGTGAGATCCAGCAAGGCTGCGATCTCGACGCGGCGTGGCCGGCACAGGTACTTATTAAAGTGGAATTCCTTCTCCAGTTCCAGCAGCTGTGTGTTGGTGTAAGCCGTGCGCAACCTGCGCGCCCCGCCGCCACCAGCCTCCGGCAGTCCCAGGCCATCTGCAGGGAAAACAAGCTGGGCGTCAAAGCGGGCAGTGTACTCAGCCCAACCTTAGTTCGGACTAACCCATCCGCCAAAACCAGTATCACCTCTCCCCTTCCTCGCCACCCCACCCCCGCCCCCACCCCACAGCGGCTCGCTTTCACTGCTTTTGGGTTTTCTTCTCTCCCTCCCTAGTCGACAGCCCCGGCCCAGGTCACGGCAAAGCAGTCAGAGCCGCCCACGGGCCACGCAGGGGGCGGAGAGCCGCTCCCTTCGGCGCCGAAACCTCAGATCCCCCCTCCCAAGCCCTCCCAGTGGACCCCTCAATTCGGAACTTTCCAACTCAACCGGAGCGAGGGTCATAAAGATTGTTCTTCACCCCTCTTCCTCCCTAGCTCTGAATTCTTCCTCTTCTCCTAGAGTTGGGGCAGAAAGGACCGAATCTTTTTCTGCTTCTAGAGTCTATCCCAACAACAACATATTCATTCCCCTACACAGATACGGATGAAAACCTCAATCAAATCATTTTCTTCTAGCAGAAAAAAGGCGTTTCCCCAACCAGCTTTCAAAATCAGCTGTAGGGAGAGAGAGAGAGAGAGGGGAAAAAAAAAAAAGACGCTGGCAGCGGCCAGGCCTGTCCCCCAGTGGGATATTCTTCTTCCCCATCCCGGGAATGGACGGGGTAAGGAACCCCAACAGGCTTGCCACCTTTTTTTTTTTTAACCTCCTTCCACTGCTTTTTCTCCCCCTCTTGTAGGGTGCCCCTCACCCCACCCCCACCACGCTTACCGACCTGCAGGCGATCCGACCCCGGAGGCCGGGACAGCGGAGGCGGCCGGGGAAGGAGACGTGGCGGATTGGCTGGGTTTCTTGGCGGATTTCTTCTCTTTCATCCAAGGGAACTCGGGGGCCGGGGGGGCAGCGGGGAGCGGCGGCGGTGGCGGCGGCAGAGCAGGCCCATCTTCGGCTCGCTTTTGGCTCCTGGGTCTCTGAAGGGTGGAGGCGCCGGGCTGGAGGCTGGGGAAGGTTTGCTCGAAAGGAGGAGGAGGAGGAATTAATGTCGACTCCTTGATTGATGAAGTTTGAAATGTCTCCAAGACAGCGGGGAAGGAAGTCAGACACTCGGCGAGCGATGGCTGGCTGTTTATAAACCCAATCTCCCTCTCAAATTCAAAATTCATGGCTTTCAATGGTGGGGGAGGGGGCTGCTGGGGGGGGCGTCAGGAGGGAGGATCGGAAGGGACCCCCCCTCCTGCCCCCCCCAGATTTATGTAATGGAGCGATTTTGGGAGGGGGAGATTTCGGTGTCTCTTTTTTTTTTTTTTAATTTTGGGCCTTTATATTTGTATATTGCTGATAAATACAAGCGTATGGGGACTCTCTCTATTAAACCCAGGACTCCGGCGAAATTACAGGGAATTCGTGGTCACGGGACCGGCCTCCGCCAATCGCTCGTCTGGGCCTGGTGGAAAACAGAGAGCATTATTTGCTTTAATTGATTCAAAAACACCAGAGGACCATGACCTGGACACCATGAGCCCCCATTCCTACACCAGTGCCTCACACGCTCTCTCCCCAGTGCCTCCCTTTCTCCAGAAAAGCTAGAGAAACCACTTCCTCATCCCTTTCGGAGGTTAGAAGGTTTCAGAAGCTTGGAAAAGAAGAGACTCTAAGGGAGAAACCTTCCTCTTTTCCAAATGTTTTAATAGAGTAAATTAAGGCTTTCCTTTTGTGGCTTACGTGGCCAGCAGCATCCTCTTCCCTTCTCCCCTTCCCCAAGAAAAGATGAGTGAGGATCCCTGCGTTGGAGGAAGAGGGAGTGGAAAGAGGCTTCCACTCTTTGAAAAAGGTCAGTGTTAAGGTGCAAATAAGAAAGAGATTTATAATCATCAGCACCACTATCCCCATGTTAACCCTCCAAAAGCAACAGTTAAATCTTGGGAAATGGACAGGAACTCCCAGGCGGACACATAAGAGTGAGATGGAGCATGAGGGGCATTTTTGGGCCTCTGGCCTCCATCGCTGTGTGGCCTGGGTTCTCGTCTCTGCCCAGTGTTTGCAGCACTGCCTCTTCCCCTTATGTCCCCCTACTTTCCTCACTTTCAGGCATCCATGCTTCTCTGTGACACCTCCCTCCCCCCGAAAACAAGCAGAGTCTAAGATGTGCATGTACCCACTCAAGCCTCAAGCTCATATCTGTATCCATATCCAGGGACATGAACAAGAACTCAGGTAGCCACTGATTTAACTTAGAGCACTCTCAAAGTTCAGATCAGCGTATGTGTGTGCATGAATGTGGTGGGGAGCTTTTCCCCTAGGACAAAGAGACTTTCCCTCCCATTTTTGCCATTGTGCTAGTTAAAAAAAAAAAAAAAATCCCTGACAAGGAAGAATTCCCTGAAAATGGTGCGGGTGGAAATAATGACCACTGAGATGATATTCCATTTCTGGCTCCTGAGGGGAAATGCTTTTAAAATTTATTTTATTTTGAGGAGACCAAGATAGTCTGAAGTTTAGAGTGTTGTAATTTACTATAGAAAGAGGGCACAAGACTCTAAGCCCCAAGCAATTGGTGGGAAACTAGGCCTCAAAGCAGAAAATGAAAAGTCGATCTGGGGGAAGATTTTTAAATAAGTGGGTCAGAGGGACGGAGAGGAGATGAGGCGATCAATCTTAGCCCCCTGACAGCTCCCTCCGATTGCATCAAAGAATTTGGCTCTTTGGGAAAGCAGAGGGAACAGCCAAAATTTCACATCTCTTAAAAAGGCCTGGGGGTGGGGGTGGGGGTGGGGGTGCAAAAGAGAAAGGTGATTCTGGGAGAGCTGGGAAACAGATGGGAAATGGGGACAGAGGGAAAGCGCTAAGTTGGGTGGAAAGTTTGCCTGGAGAACTCCCACGGCTCTGGCCTCCCCTCCCCCTCCTCTCTCTCTGCAGCCCAGCCAGGAGAAGGCTGGTTAGCAGAGAAATGGCAACTGAGCCCGGAGCTGGAACTAGAAACTTTCTGTCAATGTAACATCTGCGTGGGTGGTGGTGAGTATTTAAAAAGAAGAGCAGAGAAGTCTGAGTAGAAGCATGAGGGTGGGGGAGCGGAGGATGAAGAAAGGGGAGTTGGAGGTGGGGGCTGCAGGGACCGGGGAGGCATGCTCTGGAGGGCTGAGAACAGAGAGAGCTACTCTGACCTGGGCAAAGTGGCCAGCAACAGTAGTGTGCAACTCGGCTCCAAATAAAACAATTATTGCCGTTTAGAGGTGTGGATAGAAGAATCCAAATAGTAAGCAGCGTCTGGAAGTCATGCAGGGAGGCCTGAGAGTGGATTCTCCCTCTGGCCATCCCCTCGAACACCTCTGAAAGTTTAGCAACAGCTTCTCCAGCTGGCTGAAGGATCCAGAGCTTATCTTGGGCAACTCGGGCAGAGACTGTCCCTGCAGGAAATACAGCTCTCTCTAACCCTTACTGACAGATTTTATGGCCAGATTAGCAAACAGCGGAAAACTTGGGTGTTAAAAGGGGCCAAGAGAACCCTCCTTCTCAGAGACATCTCTCCCCCGCCCCCCTGTCCTGCTGTGAATTTTACAGCAAGGATATTTTACCCTCGTCTTTGGCTGCTTTAGCTGAGCGCCTGGAATCTTCCAAAGAGAAGGATAGGGAACACCAAGCCAAGTTGGTTCTTATTTTTCTTGTTTGCAATTCCAGCTCCGAGCCAAAGCTCTGTTTTTCAAACTTAAGCTAAATTCTCTTTCTTGGCCTCTTTCCTGCTAGATAAATAAGCAACCCAACCCACCCCCAGAATCAAACATGGTGCTTCATCTAGTTACATCATTCAGAAAATGTTATTCAGGGAAGAAGAGAGAAAGAGAAAGAAAGAAAAACCCTTGAGCGTTATTTGATCCCAATCAAACTTTGCACGCTCTTATGCCTTTAAATTATAGCCTGACCCAATGCTAAATTGCTTGCTGCTTGGATGAGCCGAGCCCAGTTAAAATCCTACTTGGTGGTGGGGAAGGGGGAGGGTGTAGAATTCAGGTTGCTTTTTTATTGTTATTTATTGTTGCATAAAGACTATAATTACTAACCTTGGACTGCCAGGATGCAACATAAAAATGAAAATCAGCCCTCGCTTTAAGGCAGGGCCTGGAACGATTCTCACTCCCCCACCATGACTACCACCAAATATATGCTCCTAATTAAGCAATGCAGGCACATCGCTTACAATTAGAATTATGCAGCTCTTCAGCAAGCAGCCATCGCTTCTCTTTCAACGAATTAGCTCCATATTTCAGCCGCCCTGTCTTCTCGCTCTTATCGGCTCCAGCGACTCGGCGGTGACATTTCATCTTTGACAGACCCTCTCTATTCTCACTCCAATGTGATAAAACTTTTATGGAACCACGACTAAGAAATGAAGTTTTCCCAAGGATGGTGGAAACAGAGCCGCACTTTAGCCTGGGGACCGTTTTATTTATGCTTAGATCCAATAGCTTCTCCCACCCTCCTCTCCCCTTTCTCTGGCAGGGGAAATCAAACGTGCTTCCCCTCCCTCCGCCTCGAGTTTTATTTAGTGATTTAATTTTACTTAGTTTTAAAGTTTGACCTGAGAAGTCTAGGCCTCAGATTTTTTTTTTTTAGATTAATCATTTTTCTTTGTTTTCATTTTAGACCCAATGGTGGTTGGGCTTCGGGTCACGTGACATCTTCTTTGTAGCTCCGGAAGAGGATTGCGAAGAAGTTTAGGTTTCGTGGAAGAAACCGTAATCTGCCAGATTTTCTTGTTGGTAGTGGGAAGGGGTGGGGGGTGGTGCATGGAGGTTGTGGCCAAAGGCACTAACAGACGAAAGGTCAATGAATGAAAAACCTAGAGGCATAGAGGCCAAACAGAAAACCTACAGAGAGCACCCAAGAGTCCCCCTTACTTCTCCCAACTTGTCACTTAAACCACAGCTAAAGAAGTTGGCAAAATGTTACAGGCTCTTATGAGTGAGAAAATGGTATTTAAACTTAAGACATATCAAGGGGGAGACCGGAACCTGGGCAGTGGACAAAAAGGCCAGGGAAGGGTCTTCAATGTCCTTGTCCTTCTTCCCTTGGGGGAAATTTGGCAGTCAACAGCCTTGCTCTGCTATCTAAATTGGACCACCAGGACAAGATAAAATTGATAACAGAAAGTTTATTCAAGAATTGTTTGACAGACAACTCTTTTAGGTAAGGAAAAAAGTAACTACTGAAGAACAAAGAAAGTTCCAAGAGGGAATTAACTCTAGTTCTACAAATTCAGGACTATACAGTGACAATCAGGAGCTGAGTTCATGCCTTTTAGAACTAATTACAATTGCTCATAAGTACGAGTTTAACATAAATCTACAGCTCTTTTCTAGAGTACAATAGTAACTAAAATAGCTGGTTTTACATGACAGGAAACACAATGTCCTTTATAACAAGTAAATACTAAAAAAGTACAATTTTTTCCTTTTTTTCCCTCATATAAATACATAATGTAGGGGGATAAATAATACAAAAAAGAAAATATTTTAACAGGCTATAACCAATAAATATATATGAAAATGTTCACTAGAACACACGCTTTTTTTGAGCAATGCTGGACTTCTGCAGGCCCAGACATCTCTCACAGTTGTTTTTACATCCATTAAAATGTAAACTCTAAGTGCAACAAAAGTGTCCTGTCAGGAGGCTGAGCAAGGCACGCAGGCCCTGCCCAGCCCCTGCCTGGGACAGACAGTTTGTTCAAATATACCCTGTTTTCACGTTAAGTCAAGAGAGCAACAGAAGAAAAGAAAAGTATAGAACCTCGTGTCACCAACTGCTTTCTGTGGAGAGAGGGGGATGGAGCTGGAGCTGAGATGGAGGCAGCAGAATGGGCAAACCTTCAGTCCTAACAACCTGCCTGCCCTAGCCTACACACTTTTCCTTAAAAGAAAAAAATATATAATTTATAATATAGGCAGCTCTTTCAGGATCTCTCACCATCCCTGAGCCCTCTAAAAACTGTAATTGATGGGGGTGGGATGTATAGATATCAATGTCCTAGAGCAGAAAAACCTGGGGCTAGAAATGGAGGGGGTAGATACCTCAATAAACTTCAAATAAATGGGAACAAAATTGAGGTTTTGGGAAAGTTGGAAGGGAACGTGCTTTGTGCCCTTTGGGTTTGAAATGTGTTTTCTTGTTTTTTAAAGGATAACTGAAAAAAATCAAGATTTGGGGGGAATTACCTACAAAGATGTAAGGTAAGTCCGTTGGTTGGTGATGGCCTAGCCATCGCGTCCGGTTTGTAAAATGTGCTTCTCTGCCTCATCCTATCTCGTCTTCCTCTACCCCACTCCAGGGCGTGGAATTCCAACTTGGTAGTGCTGGAGCCCTGGGGTTGACGGGGTCATCTCCAATCTGCTGTGGATTCCTTTCCGATGGGTTGGCAGGCAGATGGAACAAGGGGTGGACTTAAAAGCAATCTCTCAGGCCAGGGGGAGGGGAAGGAGCTCCAGGCCCGTTCTGACCAGGAAGCCTAGCTACCACCTCTCTGGTCCCTCTTTCAGACCTCCAAACTGCCCCCCAGAGCTCCACAGTCTCCCTCTTCCTTCCCATCTCCTAACCTTCGTCCGCCTTTTCCCATCACAGGTGTGTTAATTTGGGCGCTTCTTGGATTCTACCCTGAGGAGGAGGCGCGTGGTGAGAGGAGAGGTCTGTGTAGGTGGGGTGGGGGTCGCAGGGTCCGTGGTGCTGGCTGGGCGCCATAGGGGGCGCCCCGTTGTAGTCCAGGTTCCCGGAAGGATGATGGGAAAGGTGGTTGAGGCCATAGAGGGAGGGGCCGGCAGGGGGCGGCAGCGGATCCGCGTAGCCGCCCCCGCCCACATACACCGGACTGCCCTGCATGGTGGGCGTCCCGTAGGCGCCCCCGTTGGCTTGGAGGACGTGCGGCTCATACTCGGGCGCCGGGGTCGGAGGGTACTTCTGCGGGGCGCCGCAGCCTTTGAGAGGGGGCTGGTAGTTGGAGGGCAGCGCGTAGGCATTCTGGTGGGCTTTACTGAAGGCGGGTGGGGACGGACTCTCGTAGCTGGGGGTCATGGAGTGTAAGGCGTTCATGAAGCCGGCAGTGGACTGCATGGGCTGCGGGGGACTGCCGGCTGGAGATGGGCCCCCTGACGACGAGGCCAGTCCCTTGGCCTTCTGGTCCTTCTTGTACTTCATGCGCCGGTTCTGGAACCAGATCTTGATCTGCCGCTCGCTGAGGTTCAGCAGGTTGGCCATCTCCACACGGCGAGGCCGGCACAGGTAGCGGTTAAAATGGAACTCCTTCTCCAGCTCCACCAGCTGCGCGCTCGTGTATGCCGTCCGCGCCCGCTTGGACGCCGCCGACCCCGGGGGGCTCTTGTCCCCTCCCCCGCCGCCGCCGCCGCCACCGCCCCCGCTGCCACCACTGCCGCCGCCGCCGCCGCCGCCGCCGCCACCACAGCCCTCTGCTGGATTCGAGGGGGAGGGGTGGGAAGGGGAGAAAATGAAATAAAAGATAATTACTGAACACGCCGAAATTGAATGCATCGTTTCTTAATAAATCCAGGCCTGGACTCGGAGCCCCCGCCGCCCTCCCCTTCGCGTCCCCGCCTCCTCCTCACTCCCCCACCCCACCGCCCGTCGCATTAGCGGACACTCTATAATAGTGGCATTTATTAAGAGACCTGTTCTCCTTTCGCTGCCCCAGCTTATGAAAATTTGATCATGTCACGCAGACAGAGCCGCATGGCCATTTATTTAGGGCTGGATTTTCGCGTGCGTACTTTCTCCCCTCTATCCCCAATTCCAGGTCAGGGAAGACATTTCCCCTCCTGCCCACCCCGTCCTGAGGACAGGATGGGAGACTGAGGAGAACCCTCGGGGTAATCTGGACACTCGTGGGCAAGAAGTGTCGCACGAAGAGGCTGCCGTGCCTGGAGGCCGGGACCCTGGGCCGTCCGAGCGATTGTGATTAATACCCACAGTAATCATACTTAATAATAATCAATCCTTGACGACTCTGCATCCTCCTGGCAGCGCCTCGTCTTGGCTCTGTGGCCTTGGGAAGGGCTTTGAGGCCATGGACCTGGCCTTCTGGAGCTTTCAGAAGCTCTGGTGGAGGGCGGCTAGAGGGAGGAGGGTGTTGGCGGGGTAAAGGGTCATTAGGGGGTGGGGGTATCAAAAATGTACCCGCCAGCCACCTAATATTGTTCCCAGGCAGCCTCTTGGGCGCCTAGGGGCTGGATGCTAGAATAACAGTGACATTCCTGGCTCGGACAAAAGCTGAGGACAAGGAAGGCAGAGAACTGGTACCTGTGCCGGGGGAGCTGTTTTTCAGCTTGGACGTTTGCCTCGACTCTTTCATCCAGGGGAATATCTGTTTGGTGAGGGTGGAGTTGGTGCCGGGACCGCACTTTGGGGGACCACTTTTGCTGGGCCCGCCCCCATTACTGCTGTTGCTAGTGGCACTGGTAGGTGCGGCGCTGGGCGGGGGTGAGCCGGGCGGGACGGGCAGGGGCTCGGGGGCCAGACACGGCCTCATGCAGCTGCCGTTGAGCTCCTTGCTCTTGGCATGTGGGGCACCGTTGCCCAGGGACTGCAGCGAGCATGCTGAGCGCTGGTAGTCGCCCTCCAGGTGCGTAGCGGCCTGAAATGGGGGTTGGGGGGGGCCGTCGAAGCCGAAGCCATTGCTGCCAGGGTACGAGGAATAGCCTCCGAAGAGAGCAGCCGCAGCGTTGTCGTAGTAGGTGGCTTTCTGCATCGCTGGGTGAGGCCTGGGCAGTGGGTGGCAACTTGGAAAGGCCTGATACCCTCAGGACCGGACATTGGCAACCCTGGGGGTCACGTGGCACGCCGGACCCCCCCAACCCCCTCCCCTCTCTGCCCCCCTCCTCCGGGGTCTGTTCCAAGCGGCTGACCTGCGGGGCGAGAGAAGAGACACAAGGCGGAGAAGAGGACTGGGGCTCGAATCCATCTTAGGAACTGAAAAGGGAACTGACATCAATAGGGTTTTTTCTTCTCCCCTCCCCAACATCTCCAAAGCAGATGCCGAGGAAAAAAAGCCCACCAGTTTTCATTTCCACTAAAAAAATAAACAAATAAATACTATATGCCTTTCAAGACTGCCTAGATGTAGAATCTATGGCAAAGGCCATTGCTTCTCTCCTGCCTGTGCACTAACCCCTCACCTCCCCTAGTTCCTCTCTCCCTCTCTCTCCTCCCCAACTCTGGGATAGGATGGCTCAAGGGAGGGGACACTAGGAGACTCCAAAATAAAAGCATCATCAACACCCTCCTCTGAGCCCAGAGGCTTCTGTGCTTCCAGCCTTTGCCTCCTTCCAAGTCGGTTTAGGTCTCTTGCCCAAGCAAAGTCTAGCCTGAAGGGAAACCAAAGGATCTTCTGAAAAGACATGCAGGAGAAGCAAGTTCGTCAGAGAAGCTTCTCTTATGAGGTGTCCTCTCCACTTCCCACCACTTCTCCACCAGGAAGACAACAACAGCCTGACCTAGATACCTCCTGAGGATTTTTAACCTCAAGAGTCAGCTGAACTGAGACTCATCTGTCCATGGCCCTGCTGCAGGTACCACCACCTCCGGCTCCTGTCTTTGCTCAGCCAAACCTGGGATTGGGCAGCCAATGGCCCTGTGGGGCCCCCAAATGGAGCAGGATTGTTTCAATTTCCTGGGCCATACCAGTTGGTGCTGTGACCATTTGGCCCAGGTCTCTCCCTGGACCTCTCTTTTTTTTTTTTCCATGAGACTTAATTTTTCCCACCCTTTCCTTCACAGTCTGTTTTCTTTGATTTTCCCCAAAGAAAATAAGAAACAAGAAGTTACAACTGCTAGACTTTTCTACTGAGACAGGGAAAGTGCTTTCCAAAAGAGAAAGTTATTCCCGAGAAAAATAATCAACAAAGCAATTTTAACAATATTATTCTCTGGGTTAGAAACAGAGGTATTCCTGTTGACTGAGGTTCCCTGAGGCTAATAATAATAATAATAATAATAATAATAACTATTTTAATACAGCCTTTTAAAAGTGTGCCAGAAAAATAAAGATTCAAACTAACATAGGATTTTGTGTATTTGTTCTGAAACTTCTGACTACATTTTTTTTTCCTCTCTCTCTCCCAACTCTTCACCACCACTTTTCATAAAACCTCCATACTGCCATGTGTGTTTGGAAAACTTTAATCTCATTCAGCCTAGCTGGTCAACTCGAAATAAAACTAAACATAGGAAAACAAAATAAAAGAAGTGCAGGTGAAGAAAGTCCCTCCCTCACATAAATCCCCTTCTTCATGGCACAGATTTATACTCAAAAAGGAATCAGTGTAACCCTGAGTTCCGATTGGTTTCTGGAAATACACATGGGTCTGCAAAGCAGCAGGTCCTTCAAGGGAGAACCAGAGTTCAATTGACCAGGCTGACCCAATCCCTTTATTATTATTATCATTAGCCTCTGCTGATTTAACCAAAATTAGCTTCCGAGCAGCCCTGGCTGAAGGGGGAATTAATTAACAGGCATTAGTTGTGGTTGTTATTAATAGAGAAGAGAATGAAATAAAAACGTTGGAGGGGGTTGGCTGGCTGGGCCCTGGCTTTATTTAGTCTAAATGATTGTTACAGTAATAATAATGATGATGATGATGATGATAGTAATAATAATAAAACAATAATTTAACTAGACGCCTGGGGCCGAAATTCCTGTCGCTCCCCTTGCAATAAACCCCAAACCATCGCCAGACGGAGGCCAGTGTGGAAAGCGAAGGAGCCAGAGATGCGATAGGAAAGAATGGAGACTCCGCCGGTGGTGCAGACAGGGCTGGGAAGGTTTGTGCACCCGGGTAGTCCCTGGCTGCTGCTGCCAGGCTGCCTCGGCCGGTCGCTGCTGCCGCGGCGGCTGGCGACGACCTACCAGCCACCTACGATGGCCCAAGGAGGGGAAGAAGAGCAAGCGATCAGGACACCAAAACGGTTATCGGAGACAGGTTCCCAGCACACCAGCCGGCCGAGGGCCGAGCCCCGCGGGCGGCAGCAAGTTTGGGAGCCGGAGGTAACCGAATTAAAAAGCGCCTTACAAACTCCGCTTCGGGACTTGGCTCAGCAGGGCTCCGGGTTGGAGGGCGCCGAGGCCTGGCGGACGGGACAGTGGGAAGAAGGAAAGGTGCCGAGGGGACCCGAGATCTGGGATCCAGAACAAGAGGGGGTGGGGAACAGCTCTACCAAGCCAAACAGATCTATTTCCCTTGCCTCCATGTTGGAAAAATTCTGGTTCCATATGGCTCCTCGGGAGGGAGGGAGGGAGGGAGGGAGACGGTGGCTGCCGGTTTCCCCCCAGGGTCTCGCTGGAGAAGGGAGATGAGCCCCCCCAAGAACCCCACCTTGCCAAGCACACCCCAGGGACTGCCAGGAGACTAACAATAGCTGGGGAAGCCCCGAGAGAGGGGATAGGCCATCTTCCAGGACTTAAAAAAATTAATGGGAGGAAGAAAAATAAAATAACAAGAAAGGAAGAGAGAGAAAGGTTGAGACTTTCTTAGCAGCCGGGGAGAAAATTCAGCCCTGGATCTGGCTGCTGAAAGAAAAGAGAGGAGAAAAGAGGAGAGAAGCAGGAAGAGAGAGGGGAGAGAGGGAGAGAGAGAGAGAGGGAGAGAGAGGGAGGGAGGGAGGGAGGGAGAGAGAGAGAGAGTCGCTGCGTGGAAGGAAGCTTAAAGCTTGTGAACTCTTCTTGAACCGAGATTGGAGTCATATGGGCCATAAATCATTGAGACATACTCTCCGCCATTCACAAACTGATAGCCTATTTCAGTCCAGCTTACCTTAGCCACCGACGAGGGGAGAACAGGCAGACATAATATATATTCACATCGAGCCCCAGCGCGAGCGGCAGGCGAGAAATCTCCCCTCCTTGAAGGCAAAGGAAAAAAAGACCACTGTTTAAAGCTGCGTCGCCCCCCGCCCCCCCGCCCCGCAAAGCCACCCCGGCTGGGGAGCCCGAGGGGCAGACCGGCCAGAGGAGCCGCGCGGCGTCCGCTTCAATTCACTCGGCTTAGGAGCAGGGGTGCGCAGGAGGGAGGGGGTGGGGGAGCGGGAAAAAAAATAGAAGACCGAAAGGTGCCGGGCAGCTCAGCTCGCCAGAATCCAGCTCCGGGCTCCAGCAGGGCTAAGCCGCCACAGTGTGGTTGCCCTATAAGACTGGTACGCCCTACTCTCCGTAACAATGGCCTCTGCTTTTGCACAGGGAAAAAAAACCACACAGACACACACACACACTCACTCACTCACACACAAGCTCACATACCCCCCCACCTCTCCCCCTTTAGCAAGCTTAGATGCCTGATAAGGAGGGAAGGTGATGGTGCTGATGGCAAAGGGGGGAAATTTTAAAATACCCCGCTCCCCAAAAAAAGAGTGAGAAGGAAAGAAGGGAGGGTTTTTTGTTTTTTTTTTAAGAACGGGTAAAAATTTAAATCTAGATTGGGGGGACAGGGAGGAAGAGGTGAGCAAAGGCAAAGAAGGGCGGTGAAGTTCACAGCTCCCCCCATACCCCACTAGTGACCATTATGCTAATTTGAGAAGTAGCATTTGGAGGCTGAGTCAAAGACAGGCCTCACCCCGGGGGGGGGGGTGAGGGTGCCGGGTGCCCCTCTGCACTCATTCGCAATTGGAAGACCAGGACTTTTTTAGAAAGTAGTTTCGCTCCTCAGGGACTGGTGGCTGGGTCTCCAACCCTCACACTCTGGCTCCCTCCTTCTGAGTCTCCAGCCCCGTCTTCTTCCCTCCACTACACCCTCTCTATTCCTCCCAAATCTCCCCCCAATCTCCAGGCCCAGTCACTAACCGAGGGAGAGGGAAAGACCAGACCTTTTAAAACAACAACAACAACAACAACACCCCTCCCCCTTTTTCTTTTTGAGAACAGACAACAAGCGGTGAGTGATGATTTTAAAAACCCAGAACATCTTGCAGGGGGAGGAGGGTTGAGAAAAGGGTGACAAAAGGAGGACTCTGTGTTTTAGCTTGAGCTCCAGACTGGCTGGCAGTAGACAGGCTGAAAGAACTTTACGGAGAAGTTTCTGTTAGGATTCTCACCTCCGGATAGGCACAAGGAGCTAAGAGGTGATAAGGACATTTGTACTTCTGAGAAGAACTAGCAGGGTGGCTTAATTTTAAATGCACTGGCAGAAGAGATGGAAGATGGTTATTATTATTATTATTCAGAACAACCCTGTTTGTTTCTCTCTGCCCTGCAAGATTTATGACTCTTGGCACAAGTGAGGAAGGCCACAAAAGCTAAAGTTTTCTTAGGGTGTGTTTGAGCAGGGCAGGAAAAGGCAAGGAGGAGGCCTGTAGGAGGAAGACAGGAGCCAAAAATGTAGGTGTCTGCAGATTTGGGACAGGGGGTGGGGAATAGTCATTCTGGGAGGAAGGAAAAGACAAAAAGAGCACCAGGACATTTCCCAAAGCAGGAGTGTTTGCAACTCTACCTAACTGCTGACTCGGAGCTAGAGGATGAAATAGAAAGCTGACCCTCTTCTCTAAAGGCAGCTTGGAAAACTGGTTCTCTTAACTTTGTGTAAGGCACTACCCTGTGATTTCCTGGTTAGAATACTTAGCTTTTGCCTTCTCCCATCTGGATGCACCAGGAGAGGGAACGGGACTGGGGACAACAAAGGTGAGAGTTGACTTCCAGCTATTGTGTCCCCTCCAGCATAGGCTGGCAGTGTCTGGCAAAGCTTCCCTCATTCCCTCTCTCTCCCCACTCACAGGCTCTACTTTGGGATGAGATAGGGAGTGGCCCCTGGCCTCCAGGCCCTACTTCTTCTGGGCAAGGCTAAGTCAGGCCAGGTGATTTGGAGCAGCCGGTTTCCGGGGACCCTGATAAACTGGGGGTACCTGTGGCCTTCCTGCCCTCCAGCAACAGGAGCCACTTGCAGAGCCTCAGAATGTAATGTCCTGAGGACCCCATCTCCTACCTAGAAAGTTGATGGCTGGGGGGAAGCACGGGTTGGGGGACTTCAGGATGGAGGGTGGGAACTATTTTTCTGTGTTTATTAGTAGCTATTATTCTGTGTTTATTAGTATTTTTCTGTGTATATTAGTAGTATCAAGAAAAGAAAACATCCAAGTCAGACCTAGACTTGGGGCTCAAGCCAGCTTGGACCCCCAAACAGACCTGTTAGGGGTGCCTGAGTATGTGGCTGCAAAATGTCTGTCCTGATATCTCTACACTAGATAGAGATACACAGGTCAGACCCCATGTAACTTTGAGCCTGGTGGGTCGGTAACTCAGGCCAGGGAGGTTGCCAGAAGCTTAAAGAAATCAGTACCTTTGAGTTTTTTTCTATCAATCCCCCAAATTAAAAAAAAGCCAAGAATGTACCTCAAAACTCTACTGTCCTAGCTGTTACTATCATTGGGTTAGAGAAGGTCATTGTAAAACAGAGAAGAGGAGAACTTCATCGCTTTTGGGACTGCGCAGCTTTGCCTCTAGGAATAATACGAGAGTCCAGAAGGCACCCAGCCAGCCCCGGGCCGGCTGCGGGAGAAGCAGGCCGGAGCTGAGCTGGGGGTGGAGGAGTGTTCCAGAGACAACGGCAGACCCCTCCCTTCCTCAAGCCTCCTCAACCCTTTGTGGTCCCTCGGGCTACAGAAGGCAGTGGGGCATAGTGGGGTGGGAGTGAAAAAGAGGACGGAGAAGCAAGAAAACGAACCTGGAGAAAATCTCAGAGGACATACACCCCCAAATGCGGTAGGAGATGGAGTGGGGGCTTCTTAATTCTGGAGTACAGTGCCCATTTGGAATGCTTGGGAGGCAATTAGATCCCAGTTTAGTTTCTGTCTTGCCTTTTTTCTTCCTTTCTCAGAGGTCTCTGGCCAGCAGGCGGGCTGCCCTCTGATTAGAGCTGGGAGGCTGGAGGACGGAGGGCGGAACGGGCACCCCTGAGGGCCCCCGTTTGGACTGAGGTGTTGCTGCTGGCCAGGGGCTTTTCAAACTTCAGGGGACAAAGGCTGGTAGTGAGGAGTTTGGGCAAGGAACTTGGGGTGGGGGAGGCCAGAGCAGTCTGAGGGGAGACTTTGGGGTCTGGGAAAAGAGAAGCAGGAGAAAGGCTTATCATCCCAGAGAGTGAAGCCATGATTTCGGAGCAGACTGGAAATACAGAAGAGGGAACAATTTCTTCTTGGATTTGGGAGGGAAACCTGGGAAACTTTGTGTGTGTGCCCATGTGTGTGGGGTGTGTGTGTGTGTGTGTGAGAGAGAGAGAGAGAGAGAGAGACAGAGAGAGAGAGAGAGAGAGAAAGGAGGAGAAAGAGAAATTGAAAAAGAGAAAAATTGAGTAAGAGACAGAGACACTAGCCTAAACTAATGAAGTAAAAAAAATAATAATAAGGGTAAAGATTAGAGAAAATGCCCTTCTTCACAGACATCCTTTCCTCTTCCATTCCGTTTCTTCAGAGCCAGAGCACTCGCTCTGGCACTTCTCTCCCCCACCCTACTGGGTAACCAGTATCAGGCAACGGGAGCACTTTAAACCTTCTGGAGCAATCAAGGGCTACCCGCCCTTATAGACCTCAACGGGATCGCGCCTGTTTCTCTCTTCCCCCAGAAATGCATCAACTAGCAAACAAAAATTCTCTCAATAAGGGCATACTGGTTGGCTCTTTTAAAACTGATTTCTGATCTCAGACTTTGGGGCAGTCAAGGATCCTGCTCCTGACTCAATCAGCACAAAATTTGCCTAGCCCACTGGCTAGCTGGGGAGCTAGGACCTGGGAGCCTGGGTTCTCAGATGTTTAGCGATGTGTTTCTTCCTGGCCCTGTCTGAGTTCCCGGTCCCACACTGTTTTCCAGCTTCACTGCCCAACTTTGTAGCCCTAGCAGAGGGGTGTAAAGTTCACACACTCACCCGAATTTCCATTTTCCCTTAAGTATTAATAAAGATTTCAAAGCTGGGGGTTGTAAAGTGGGAATTGCTAATGAAGAAGGCTCTTGGCATTTGGATCCCCATCTCCAGCTCTCCAATAAGCCAGAGCAGGAGGGAACAAAGGGGCACCCAGAAGGGAGAAGAGGAGGCCCGCATAGACCCTGCTCAGCAATAGTGGGGATCAAAAGAAGAAAAAGGTCGCTGCAGTGGATGAAGAAAAATCCAAGCTGTACATTTTCCCCACCCCATGTGTGGGGGCACTGCCCTCTCCCCAGCCGAGCCTGTGAAGGGGTGGTAGGACAAAAAGGGCAGCCACAAGGGTCTGCGAAGTCCACTCAATGACCATGGAGGCCGCCTGAACATGCTGAGGGGATGGCGGTGCTGCCAGCGAGTTGGGAGCCTCAGGCAGGTGGGCTCCTTGGTGATGATAGATCCCAATTTGAATCAGGGCTCCCGCCTCATCTAGAAGCTCAGCCTTAGCCTGGCAAACCCCACCCCCAGCAAGTGTTGAGACAAAGGTGGGCAGAGCAGAGAAGGCAGAGGAAGGGAGGCTGCAAATCCTGGGCAGCTTGGGGGCTGCAGGGGGTGCTGGGAAAGGGAGGCAGAAGCAGGAAAAGAGGAACAGGCCCAGTCCCTGAGGCTGAGCGGGCCTCTCCTGACAGACTGGATGTTTCTCTCCCGGTGACCTCTGTTTAGCAGACAATAACTCAGTGGATTAATGACCAATCAGCGAAAGGCGTTCCGAATTGCCTCCAAATATAAAACTCCGAAGTCAGAATGGGACAGGGCCAGAGTCTGGGCCTGCTAGTCCTTTTGTTTTTTCTCTCTCTCAAATTAGTGTTTTGGGCTAGGCTTTAGGAAGTGGATTATCTGCCCAGTGTCTGAGATTTCCAGAGCCCCAAAGATGAGGTTGTTTCCCATCTCTTCCCATCTCCTTCCCTCCTCCCCCAGAATTCATATTCCAAACCACACTTCCCAAGG